GACATATATTTATACGAACTTTTTTACTTATTTTTATCTGCAGAATATGCTGCCGAAGTTTCCGGAATACAGTTCGGACCACCCTCTATATATTTCGAATCTTCCTATTGTAAAATTTTATTGATACGGCTTTTTTGTGTTTAGTTTTTTCGTTTGCCTTTGTGAAATATTTTTTCAAAATTTAAAGACAAATCATAATTTTAACAATGTCCAACACAACAACTGCAAAATTAAAGCCTATAACGCCTCTATTTTTCATCTTATTCCCAATTGACTATGCTCGAACATCAACTGCTACACGGCAACATATGACACTAACTAGAAGGGGTGAGTCAGCAAGATAAACTGCCCCTAACAACGTGTCAACTAGAGACGCGGCCAGCAAAATCCGAAATAGGCCAAAATCGATCCCTTCCAAACCTGATGGTTTGTCCCCATTCTCAACAAAAGAGGCGAATAATAGGTGCACATAGGGCCCAAATATTTAAATTTATTCAAATGGAATTCCGAAAACGCATTGACACTGTTTCGTCCTAAAACAACAGATTAGAATTCAGTAAGACACCCTAAAGTGCTAGTTTAAATTGGGGTGGTTGTGGTGACAAAAGAATATTAGATGTTATTGGGAATATCTCCAATAAAAATAAAGATATTTTAAGATATTGAGATGAATCAAAAAACAAACTATCGAGAAAAGACGATGATAAAATAATGTTTAAATTCCTCGCGTTGTTAGCATATTCCACAGGGTGTTTCAAACTTTCACCAAAATTAAACATTTTGTTTTAACTCGTATAATTGAAAGATGGAAATTTTCGTTTTTAATTTAGAAAGATGTCAAATAACTTAGCTAGAGAACAAAATATATTAAACTTTAAAATACATCAAAATTTGATCAGGTTAGGTTAGGTTTAGGTTTAGGTTAGATTTAGGTTAGTTTAGGTTAAGTCTTTTTAAAACTGAATTGTTGCAGTTCTGGTGTACAACCTAAAAATATCATAAGAATAAATAAATAAAATAAATGCCTTTATTGTCAAAAACTCTTTACAATTTGTGGTCAAAGGTAAAGTAAACAAACAAACAAACAAAACATTATACAAATTCCATTGTCAGTCTTATTGTTTAAAATAAACATTTATAAATGTTTACAATGTCAAAGAGTAAAAAAATAAAAACAAGATTCAAAAATATTTAGTAAGTTTATAGTAAATATCAATGAACTCTAAATAAATTAATTTCGATGTCATTGGTAAATATAGTAATGGCAAACATTAGACCAGTATTTACAAGATCAAATTCGATTATAAAAATATAAGTTATTTACCGCGTAGAAAGCCGCGTCTGGTAAAAAGAATTTCAATGCTTTACGAAATGAAGAAAATTATGTTATGGATTTGATTTCAAATGTCAGGTGATTGTGCATTTTTTTCGAGTTGTATAATATTGAAGTTTTAACTAACCCTGAGCGTGGGGTAGGTAGATAAAGATCTTGCTCCGCGTTCTTGAGTGGATAAGTGTGAGATGGCCTATCTTGGGAAGCTGATACATGCTTACGTATTAGGCAAACGGATTCAAATATAAATAAGGAAGGAAGAGTTAATATTTTTATTTTTTAAAAAAGTCCTGGGCAATGAGTTCTGCTGTTTAGTCCCAGTGAATATCGAACAGCTCTCTTATGGAGCTTGAAAATGCGGTCAAATTGAGTCGCACAACACGTACCCCAGAATGGAAGGGCATATCATTTGAGGTGCAACTCAAAAATTGCATAATAAACAGTTCTAGCCACTGACAAGTTAAGCTCCTTAAAAACAGTTCTTAATGCAAAACAGGCAGAGCTTAATTTTTTCGACAAAGCGTCGATATGCATGTCCCATTTCAGATAATTGTCTACAACAAGCCCTAAGAATTTTAAAGATTTAACGACGTCAATGGTGGTGTTCTTAAGTACAAAAAGCTGCAGCGAGTTTTTATACGACAAAGCTTTAGTTTTAGAAATGTTGAGACTCACGAGGATTTAATCGCACCAAGATTTAATGGTGATTAAGTCATTTGATATAATCCTATACAGTGCAGTGACGTCCTTGTTGCCCCAAGTGAAGCTAGTGTCGTCCGCAAAAAGACATATTTCATCACTGATGTTTATGTTAGCAATGTCGTTAATAAAAAGAAGAAACAAAATACGGCCTAGTAATGAGCCTTGTGGTACTCCATATTCTATTGGCTTGCTAGAAGACAACGTGGTATCCACCCTCACAAGTTGACTTCTCTTGTTCAGATACGACTTAAACCATTCGAGAGATGTTCCCCTGAACCCATAGTGCTGCAGTTTATTAATTAGGATCTTACACAGTCGAACGCCTTAGAAAAATCAGAGAAAATTGTTGCTGTAGAATGATGGTTATTTAGGCAGGAGTGAGTCACTAGAAAGAAATTTCATGTTAAGAACTTATGGAATCGCACCTCTGGTGTACTGTACAAGATTTTAAAAAATTGAAACATCATATTATTTTCAAAATTTTGTTCACAACCCTATATCGTTATGGCGTTAAATTAACCTGTCAAAAGACTGAATGTTCTACATTATCAAGGGTTATCCCGTTGTAATTCCTGCCACGATTCAAACTCAAAAATCTACCACGCCCGAATCAACCTGCTAAACATATTCGCTGGCAAAAGGGCCCTCCTCTGTTTAAACCCTTCGAAGTGGGGTAGTAAAACAGTCAATCTTTATCGCGTCGGCACGTCCATTTGTGCCCCGATTGCCCTTCTAGGCCGACCCCCGCGCTTCCGCCCTTTCGGCCGTCCCTTCCACGACACTTTCTCTTATTTAAATTGAATTATACTCGAGTTAAAAGCGCCCTTATTTACTGGGGAGGCGAGCTTTTGAGAAAGTTCGATGGAGAATTAAAAGAGTTTTGGAGCGATGGAAGGGTCGTTTAGGGAAGTGTTCTTCCCAACCCTTGATTGTTTATTTATTTCGTTGAATAAAAATAACCTATTAATGAAGAAGATATACAGGGTCGTTCGTCGTTCACCACATACGACACGGAGTATTGTAGCTAAACGATTAGATTTTTACAAATTGTAAGTTTTGGGTTCGTTGAAGGACTATTAGAGCTACAATTGAAAAATATGTTTACCAGGGACAGAGAGTCCCAAATAAATAAAACATATCAAAGTTATATTTTTTTAAATGGAACACTTTGTATATTATTACATTTTTTGTTTCTACTATTAAAATAAAGGTAAATTTGATTAAGGTTTATCACACTTAAACCTTATCGTTTTTGCAATATTTTCAATTTTGTGAAATTGCAGTAAAAATTTTTTACTTGTTTCATTTCCCCAAGGGTATCAAAGATTTTAATACTAAATATTTACTGAAATTTATTTATTGATCAGTTAGGTATTATGTTTGCAATAATAAAAATAATACTGCCTCATACAGAGTGTCTAAAAATTTATATTAAAAAATTATGTTAGTACATAGCTAGTGCTTTAAACGACAATAACTTGTTTAATTTAAATGGAACACCCTGTATATTTTACGTGAATCGGATGCACAATTTAATTGTCTATCAAATTGTATTATGCCATTTATTACAATCTTTCAATCTTTTCAAGTTTTCGTAGAAAATGCATTTTCGTATAATTTAGACCTCAATTATCAATATACCCATGGAATATTGACATTTTAGATTGTTTTTAAAGCAATAAATATACCAAATGTACAGGTGTTAAAAAGGATAATAATACTAGTCCATTTGTATAAAAGAAGAAAACTATTTAAATCTTTATAAAAGAGTATAATTAAATATACCACCATTATTTCCGCCCAAATATTAATTAATTACATACTTTATTGTATTAGTTAATAAAATATTCTAAATAAATGTGGATTTAAATCTGAAATCAATATAATAATAAGTTATGAAAATAAACGTCTCTGTAAGCATTCGTCAAAAAACGAAGTAAAATTTTTAAGGTGTTACCAAAGGTGTTACTTTTTACCACACTGTCTAAAACACATACAAAATTAAGTTTTTTCCTCTTTAACAAATATTTAAACAGTTTTTTTTTTATTTTTTAATGAAATAAAAGTAACTATATCGACAATATTAGTATCTGTACTCTTTAAATATTTGTTACATCTTTAAAAATAATCTAAAATGTAAATATTCCATGGGTATATTGATAAATGGGGTCTAAATTATAAGAAAATGCATTTTCTACGAAAACTTGAGAGATAAGTAAAAAATGGTATAATACAATTTGAAAGACAAATAAATTGTGCAAAATAAACGTTCGGCATTTAACGTTTTATGTAAAACTGGCTAGATATTTTTATATAAATGAAGAAGGAAATTAAAGATGAAGGATTATACTATATCCGTATTGTAGATTGTAGCACATTTTTAGACAACCTCTTTATTTTTAAGATTTTCATGGTCAAACATCAACAAAATATTCCTTATGTTTGGACTAAATTTTCTCGAAAATAAAGACATAATTTACAATTCCGTCACCATACGGAAACAGGTTGAAGTTTTGTGATTACAGTGATATATAATTTATATGGTTTCGTAACAAATTGCTCTCTATTTTATGGCAAATGCTGAAGCTCTGCAAAACTTAATCAAGCCTTAATGAAAGCACGTCTGTTTAGAATTTTGGATGTGGCTTAACACGACAGGATTGGGCTAAGCCTTAGGCAGATTTCTGAAATATAATATAGATTTCCTTCGGCCACACACCCGCTTTACCCGACCCCAGTGAGCGACCCGAACAGTACAGCGTAATAGACACAGGTAATAGACTCTAAGCACAGAATATCTAGCTACGCGTAGCTAGATATTCTGTGCTCTAAGTCTGTTTAAAACTGATTTGTTGCAGTTCTGCTTCTTGTATTATTATAATTATTTCAGTAGTAATTAATGGCAGTTTAATTTACTTATTTATATTAAAGAACTAAATTTCAGTAAAAAATGTAATGTACTTACTTGGAGAAAGTGCTAATCTACTCTGCAAGGCTGCCTTCGACTCGTCAACAGATGGCGCTTGTACATCGGGTCTCCATGGAGTGTCAGTCTCACTCAACCACAGTTTTCCTAGAAAAACACAAAAAAATCAAGCTATAATAATATTGTGTGAATAATGTTGATTTAAATAGATCCATGCATTATAGAGAAGAGATTACACTAGAGCTAAGTGGCCGAGATAACTAATAACACGCCTGAATAAAAAAATAACCTCTAGAACAGTCTGGTCTATAATTATTTCATTACGATATAAGTTGCTTATTGCATGTAATTACAGAGCGATGGATGTTTTCTTATGGCTTGATCTTGCGGCCATAATGACTGGAAAGATTAGAAATAAAGCGTTTGCTTAATTAGTTTCAAATTAAGAAGCTTTTTCGGATTTAAGAGCAGAATATGTATATTCTCTGTTCTCTTCTAAAGGAATAAGAAGTAATACTATTAATTTCACTTTTTTCTTAAGGAATACAATTTTTTTTGGCTTTTCGGAATTTAAAAAAAATTGGACAACCGCCATTTTCTTATAAATTTCGCCACCTACATATATTTAACTGTTTTGAAGAGTAATAACTTTTTGTCCGTACCTGTATAAAACTACTGAATGAAAAAATATATATCGTCCTATTGCTGCTAAAAGTCACTAACATTTTACCGAATAATCTGAAAATTGAATTACTGACTATATTTTGAAGCGGAGAATCGATTGAAAAAGCCATTAACTACGATTTCTGGCTATTTATGCTGTATTTTAATTCCGAGTTGTTACTAACAACAACTTTATGCAATGCAATTAATCTTTAGACGCGTTTTTCTCCGAAGTAATAAAAAGTAAGTTAGTGACTTTTGGCAGCAAAGATATTTCCGTGACTTTTTACGTAAAAAATGTCTCTTGGTAAAAATCGCTACGAGCAACCGTTCCCAAGATATTTAAAATGGAAATAGTCAATACATGTCATTATTGACAAAAAATAAACCCGTCGAGTAGGTAGTTTGTAGTTATTTGACTGAAATAATAAATTTGGAAAATTTTAATTTTTTTAAATTAATCATATTTTTTTCTGCGAAAAAATGATAATAAAACAGTTTCTGTTGAACTTTTGACACAAAAACATTTCAAATTTATGATTTTGGTCTAATAACTATTAGTCAACATGTTTAATTTATGTCAATGATGATAGGTCTTGACAATTTCGATTCCAAATATCTCGAGAACCATTACTTGTAGCGATTTTTACCAAGAGACCTTTTTTACGTAAAAAATGTCGTAAATTTATATTTTTTTACTCACTAATTTTATACAGGTGCGGACGAAAAGTTATTATTCTTCAAACCAGTTAAAAAATATGTAGGTGGCGCCCTCTGCAAGTAAGAGTCATATTGACATCAAAATCAAATTTCTCATGTCAAAAAACTCCCAGACACCAATTTTCATCGAAACATTGATGTTACTTCATAAATTATTCAGAAAAAATCGAAATAAATATGCACTGAAAAAACTAATGCTTTAATAGCAAATGATTCCGCGCATTTGCCGTTTTAGCTTTTTTGCCAAGGGAGCAAACTTTTGCCTTAAATACAATAGCACTGCTTTTGTGCCAAACAAAACCACTGCAATTGGGGTAAATTCACCATGCATTTGCCTTGTTGTGCCTCTCAGGCAAATGAATTACTTTCACGTCAAATTTAAGAGTTTCAAATTAAAATCCATGCTTTTTTGGCAAATCGGATTTTAGCAGAAAATTATTGCATTTGGGCCAAATTTTGCGAGGATTCAACTTACTTCTTTTATTGGAATTATATGCTTTTATCTCCAATGTCCAATTTTTCAACTGAAAGCCATGCTTTTGGTAGCAAGTCGGCGCTCTTGGCATAAGTAGCCATTGTTGCCTATATTTGCATCGCGACGCGATCAACCTTTTACGTGCGTGTTAGTATTAGTATCATCGGCATCGGTCCCTTTGAACAACCAGCAAGTGGTGCGTGTTTTGTCGACGCATATGAGCAGCGTGGAAGAATTTTTGGCCAAGTGGCATGGCGCCTAGAACATTTGCTATCAACATTTCAAGGTACGTAGAAACAATAAGGCGTTGTTTGATTTTGTTTATGCATGATTTCCTAAGAGGATTTATATAAAAACAAATAAACAATGGGTGGAATGAACAAAGATAACGTGGTAAAAGGTTTTGCTTAAATTTCTGGAAATAAATTTATACACAGTTTATAAACAACAAACAAAGAGAGTACAAAGAAGCATTTACTATTTACTTTTTTTCATATTTCACCCATTGTTGGTTGTACTTTTGACTATTCAATCACGGCATAGAATGTTAAAAAAATATGATGCAATATAAAGCCGCGATCTACGATTGGGTTATATATGATTTTTACATAAATTCACCTTGGTAGCACAGTATAATAATATTATTATAGCACTGTGTTTGTTATAGTTTATTTGTTTAGCGAAATCATAAAAGTATCTTGGAAAATTCGTGATTTCATCAGATAGAACTATACAGACAATAAGTTGGTGATGGACGTCCATCTTTTTTCACCTGAAATCCTTCATGTCCTTAGGTTAAATGCGCGGGCATTTGTAGCAAATGCTAAATATTTCATTACAATTCAGCCAATTTTTTTTTATCAGCTTTTGTTCATATTTTGTATTGTGAATGTCTTGTTGGTAAAATATACTTGTTTTCTTGCAGAGCAAAATATCGACGGAATCGATATAATGCCTCTCACAAGAAGAAGTGAGCATTCTAGTCAATAATGTTCTAGAGGACAAAATCAAATTAATCAAAGCTATTGAAAGTCTGAAAGTAATAAATGAAGTATCCATCAGCCATCATCAACTTGATGAAAACAGTGATGTAAATGATATACATATATTAGTTTTTATTACAGTTGAGGGTTGGAACCTTTGGTGTTACGCAGCAAAATAAAAACACTAAATCACCACAATACACCAAAACACTTTTACTTTTAAACTGGACGCGCGTTTCGCTAACCATGTTAGCATCATCAGTTATTTAGCATAAGTTATCTTTAAAAAAATATTTTTGTTAAACAAAGATACATCCAAATAAGCAATAAAAATATTTTCAAAATTTTGTATTATTTTTAAATTAACCCTAACCCGAACCATACAAAGTCAATTTTTAATTCAAATATATTTGCTGCAAATAATTGATATTGTTGTGTACTTAATTAGGTATAAATAACGCCACATACACTCAAATAACACTTATGTGCAAATATATTTGAAAGAAAAATTGACCGTGTATGATTCGGGTTAAAGTGAATTTTTGTTACAAATTCCCAGTGCTTTAGTTACAAAACCACAGTGCCTTTGTTACAAATTCGCAATGGTTTTGTCGCAAACTTCCACTATGTTGTTACAAATTCGAAGTGCTTTTGTCACAAATTCGCAGTGTTTTATAACAAATTCGAAGTGTTTTTATCGCAAATTCGCAGTACTTCATAACAAAGTTGAAGCGCTTCTGGCGTAAAATTCGCAGAGTTTTGATAATGATCTTTGAAGAGTTTGGTATGAAGTCATGCAAATCGCAATACTTTCAAGATAAGGCTGTAGTCTTTGCAACCAGCGATTCTAAAGCGTTTATCCCAAATGCATCTTGAAATTACCCCAATTGAACCATGCATTTGGCATATATCAAGAGCATGGCGAAATTGGTTCAAGTGCGTTCGCCCTCGGGCCGATAGATTTGTTTTTTCAGTGTGAAAATTGTACACCCTGTATCTCCGAAACTAAGCATTTATTAGGACATACATTTATAAGAACTTTTTTACCTATTTTTATCTGCAGAATATGCTGACGAAGTTTCCGGAATACAGTTCGGACCATCCTGTATATTTTTTATTTATTTATTAATATCTTTGAAGCTATCAAAACATATTTAATAATATTTTAGGATTATGTAAGGTGACAAAGAAGCCTAAACAAGAGTAATGATATATAAAACAACCCCAGAGTTCCAACTCCGAACCCTGTATTATCGATAAAAATGGTAATAAAAATTGGTAAATAATTTTATTTTTTTGAAAAACTATATTATAACTAAAAATTAATTGTACCTTATGACTGAAAATTGAGAAGATATTTCCAAAGACGACACAAAATTGCTTCACAGAAAAATATATTCACGACTGCTACAGTAGCCTGATAGCTGACGACCATTATCTTAATAATAATACCTCTTATGTATACAAGTTTTTTTATGAGATAGTCATTAGGATTGGAAATTGTTATTTTTTCGACGCTGAAGGTTCCGAAAAGACACTCATTTGGAAGGCAGTAGTAATATTAACGGTAGTATTACAGGTTTCGTTTTTTTACTAACAACCGAATAACTTTGTTTTTGGGTACATTATATTTTACATAAAAAACAGAAGATGACTTTTATTTGATTTTGGAGTCTAAAGGAAAAAAGGGTAATGTTCTTTTTTGATTTAGTTTTTATTTTACTCAGATTAAGCTAAGTAGAATAAAATTGGTTCTAGGCATTATTACTTATATTATGTTAAAAACATATTATGGGAAATTTAATTAATTACCTATTTATGTAACAATTATATTGAATATTGTAAAAATACCCTTTATATTGTCTTTCAGTGTTTTTTTTTGTTTTTTCAGATAAAAACGAGATTTCGTATGTTAGTATATGATATAAATTAGGATTGATTGACGCATTCAATTGTTTTTGGTCACTTCCTGTTTCAACGGAAATTACTACAACTTTTGATTTTTAAATGGCACCCCGGTATTTCTTTACTTTATTCGATAGAAAATGACATTCTGAATAGAATGACATATCATATGTCTACTTTTGACATTCTCGCTTAAAACAAAATTGAATTTTAAAATTCAATCTAGAGTGCCATGGTTATGTTAAAAACACTAATTCTTAATCAAGGAGCCTTGGAAAAATAGATTTGATTGTCTAATGTTTTTAGTGTCTTGTCCTGGCCAGTTGGAAAATGCTCAAATCGTATTTTTAATCATATCTCAATTTTTTCAAATGGAACGAGGATGGCTCATTAGCATATTT